TAAATAAAAACTGAAAACTTAAAAATGATATAGACACTAAAAAATGACAAAAACTAGAAAATGATTCAAACTGGTGCAAGATGGCGATAATAGTTTTTTCTATTTCTTTTTTTTTAAAGCTACAAAATGATGAATACAGACTGTGCATCAGGTGTTTCCGCTGAATTTTTATTCAATTTATATGAAGTGTAGTAAACTGAATTGTTATATACTTTACAATACTTACAGTACATGCAACTTAGTTTATTGGAAATGAAAAAAAAAATAATTTCAACAAATTTACTGTCAATGAGTCCACCATGTTTTCTCACTAGCTATGTTTCCATCACCCTATTTTTATGTGCATTTTGAAGTATCACATCAGAAACGAGTGATGGAAATGCCTAATTTAAAAAAAAAAAAAAAAAAATCCATTCGCAAAAAAGTTTTTACGGTCGCTTGAGGTGGTTTTTGGCTTGTATGAAAAAGAGTTAATGCGTATAATGGGAGATGGAAACACATTTGCCGAATAAATTCAAATGTAGTGAACATTAAACCCACACGACTAATCGGCCATTTCCGCTGATAGTGTCTTTTCATTTTTTTTTTATTTACTTTTGGTTATTAGTGTCACTACTCGATCCGTACCGGAAACACGATTTGTACTGCGCATGTGTGAAAATGCGTCTACTTCTTGTCTGAAGTATGTCGGAAACATTTACGGCAGTTTTGGGTATGTATGTATGTTTGTCTGTGTGTGTGTATGTATGCAGGGTAGGGCTGGACAATAATTCAATATCAATATGTATCGCCTAGATTAAAGTGATTATTACGTTTTGAATATGGATATTTTTCTTACAAAAACGCATCGATTCGCTACAGAAGGCCTTTGTTCACTCCCCGGAGCCGTGAGACACTTTTTTTTTTTTATGGATGGGCGCTTTTTATTTAACTGCTTTTGGACTGATGCATGCAACACCCACTGAGTGCCATGAAACTTCTTGAAAGATCAAAGACAATTTTTTATATAACTCCGACTGGATTCGTCTGAAAGAAGAAAGTCATATACACCTAGGATGACTTGAGGGTGAGTAATTTATGGGCTAATTTTAATTTTTGGGTGAACTAACCCTTTAAGCAAACTTAAAAGATTGTAAAAGTTTAACCATCACTTTTAGAGCAATGTATCACAGATGTGAGATTAATGCTTTAATAAAGCAAAAACACCTGCCAATGGGTTATGAAAATTACAACAGAGAATAATATATTATTAATAATAAAAATAGAGAATATTCTCTTTTCCTGGCTGTCATGTTTAATACAGATGAATATTGAAAAATGTCTAAGTGTAAACATGTTTGACCAGTATATTTAAAAAATCCAAACAATTTAGATAATAAAGTATCTAGAATTATTCAGGTATACTGAAGTGCCCACGATAACACAGTGTTACATTGACACAGCGTCTTTAAAGCTCTTGCGAATGCCGAATCAAACCGCCATTTCGACAACATCTTTTAGAAATTCAATTTCAATTTCTTTCCTATTTCCTCTTCTCTGCACCAGATTGATAGTGTGGCCGCTTCATTTTCAAACATTAACGCACATGACTGACACAAGCAAACTTTATCAAAATTAATATTTCCGGGCATTAATGTCTGAATCCCTGGCAGGGGGCCCCCAGGTAGGGCTGGGCGATATGAGCAAAAATTCATATCTCGGTATTTTTTGGCCGATTTGCGATATACGGTATATATATCGGTGTTTTTGTATTTGGATTAAAAAAATCTGTATTTAATATATACAGGTGCATCTCAATAAATTAGAATGTCGTGGAAAAGTTCATTTATTTCAGTAATTCAACTCAAATTGTGAAACTCGTGTATTAAATAAATTCAATGCACACAGACTGAAGTAGTTTAAGTCTTTGGTTCTTTTAATTGTGATGATTTTGGCTCACATTTAACAAAAACCCACCAATTCACTATCTCAACAAATTAGAATACTTCATAAGACCAATAAAAAAACATTTTTAGTGAATTGTTGGCCTTCTGGAAAGTATGTTCATTTACTCAATACTTGGTAGGGGCTCCTTTTGCTTTAATTACTGCCTCAATTCGGCGTGGCATGGAGGTGATCTACTTCTGTATGCATTGAATTTATTTAATACACGAGTTTCACAATTTGAGTTGAATTACTGAAATGAACTTTTCCACGACATTCTTATTTATTGAGATGCACCTGTATGTATTTAATTTACCGCCCAATGTTGTCCAACAAAACAATACATATTAAAGGCTATGAAAACAAATAAAGTGAATGTAACCATGTAAGCCTTTATATTATGTGCAAAAAAGGGTTAAAATCACATTTCATTCAAACATTGTAACACTGCAATCTAAAAACAAAAATAAGGCTTTTAAAGCGGAAGTTAAACTCACTAAACTAAAACTGAAAATAAATGAGAACAAAAGCACAGAGTTGTGTTAGGCTATTTTGATTAGCCCATTACAGTCACTTTACAGTCAGTGCTATCATAAAAATAGACTTTAAAATTCTACGTCACATTTATTGTCCAACTACAAATATTTCAGCTCAGTCTGTGTTCTCCGCTATATTTTCAGATGCGCTCGTATCAAACTACAGTATATCGATATAAACGGTATTGCATCATATCGAATCGCTTATAAAGAAAATATCGATATATCGTACAAACTCGATATACCGCCCAGCCCTATGCAACCGCTTATTAGGTAGGGCTGGCACTGTATGCATGTATGTATTTATTTATTTTATTAAACTTCAACCACTGAACACTGTCAAAGTAAAGTTAAAACTACAATAATACACATAACCACGCAAAAACACAAAATATATAAAATACAAAATTTGTATACAAAATACATTGACAGAAAAGATTCGCTTCACGTTTGGATGAAAACCCAGCTACTGACACGCCCCCAACTCTCGCAAAGAAAATGCCAAATTTGCCACTCATACTTAACGACTTTCTGGTGCCATTCACGTGCGTTCAACTCGTAAATGAACGCATCAGTACTGACATTTGTGAACCTCAAAGAAAGGCCAGAACGGAAGATAAAGGAACTTAAATTATAGCATGAATATTCTATTTCAAAAAAGACAAACAAACCTCAGACAAGCATGACAAAGTTAATTTATTTTGGTGCTTTTATGACACGATACATGTTGAAAACGGTCGAGCTGACAGACTTCAGACATGCGCGTTGGTCTGACAGACTCAATGGCACGAGAAACACTCTCTTCTCCACAGAGGAGAAAGAATCATTGGTTTCATTTTGTGTCTTAAAGTTTAATAAAAGCACTTTAAAGCCTCGCAATTAAAGGCTAAATCCACACTGTCAACATCCGTCCCTGCGGTGCGGCTTACAGCAGAATGAACGAGTCCCGCAGGGACTGTGCGCCGCCGCTAAATTATACTCAGAACAGGGAACAGAGGAAAACCTGCGGATTTACAGCGAGAGCCGGGGGTGCGCTGCTGGAGCCCATCATCACGGATCACGGTGAACCGACAGAAAAGACGGAGAACATCATGTCATTGAATAAATATGCGAGACAATTATATGAGTGGAAACTTGTGTTTTGAAGTGCTTTAGTTGGCCCATGAAACATCAACAGAACACTTTCATATACATTTGTGACCCTGGAGCACAAAACCAGTCATAAGGGTGTGTGGGGGATCTGACAAGAACATGTCCAGGCCATATTTAAAAAGATTATAATAAAATATTTTGATGGAAGAAATGAGTCCTTTTTGAGGTCCATTTAGAAAAAAACAAAGCTCTTAGAAGAAAAAAATACTGTAATGAAAAATTTCTTACATATTTATATAATAAAATGGTAATATTTATTCACTGCCATTATGCCTATTTAAATAATAATGGAACTACTTTTCTGAGTAAAAATAGAGAAATGAGAATCAAAAAAGAGCCACCACTGTGAATGAAAAACTCAAAAATTCAGTAATGTTTCTGCCTCAGTTGAGTAAAAAAAATATGATTCTGTATCACAATAATAAAAACCTTTCTCATGATGACTTAATGAGAAATTTTATGTAATGACTTGGTTTCTCGTAAAAATTCAAATATTTCTCATAATAATGACTTGAGAAAAATTCACGTAATAATTTAGTTTCTCGTAAAAATTCAAAACTCATAATGACTTGAGAAATTTCATGTAATGAAAAAAATTCCTACATTTCTTATGATTTAAAATTTCATGTAATAATGACAAACTTTCTTGTAAAAATTAAAAAATGTATCATAATAATGACTTAAAAATTAACATAATAATGACTTAGTTTCTCATAAAAATTCTAAACTTTCTCATAATGACTTGAGAAATTTCATGTAATAATAACTTAGTTTTCCTTAAAAATTGTACGTTTTCTCATAATAATGACTCAAGAAAAAGTTGTAATGACTTAGTTTCTAGTAAAAAAAAAAAATTATATGTAAATATATA